TAGATAGATAGATAGATAGATAGATAGATAGATAGATAGATAGATAGATAGATAGATAGATAGATAGATAGATATGCATGCATGCAGTGGGCATGGCTAAGAGCTCTTAGCCACGCCCACTGCTGCATGACGAAGCTTCTCCTGCAGCTTGGGCTGCACACAGGTGCTAAATAATTTTAAATAATTTATTTTCAATAAAATCCCGTGCCGGTCGTGCGGCTCGTCCGTCAGTCAGCCAGTTGTGTGTCATGTCCAATCTTATTTTGAAAAACCGTGATAGAGCGAGTCCACGAAAAACGCACCGCGACGTAGCGATGGACTACTGTATTGGGGCAGAGTACCAGAGACCGCCTCAGACTTTTAGAAGTCTGCTGGAACTGTTTTTACTGCAATAAAATTACATATTGAGTATCATCTCTGTGGTCATAATGTTGTGGCTGATCAATGTACATGCTTTGATGTGGCTGTGGTGGCTGACCAGCTGCTTCCCATCTTCCCCTCTCTCAAACGTGCTCCACCTGAAGAGTGTGTGTTTACATGAGTTTGTCCGTCCATCTGTCTGTGTGTCCTTCCTGCTCTGGCTCCCATTGCTCCCACTAACATGTCATCCATGCTCCGTGACAGCGTGCAGGCGTTGGCCGGGGATGGTTTGGGACATGGAGTACCCCTGGGCCAAGCTGGACTGTAAGACTGCCTGCTTCCTTCACACTCGGCATGACGCCAAACATCCATTCATTTAGTTTTCTGTGAGCCTGACGTCATCAAATAACGATGGTCTGCTTTATTTAGCCCTCGTATAAAAATAACAGGTTTTGTATTTATACACAAGTCCTGCATGCTGATTTGTATGAATAAGGAACCCCAGATTGTCACCAAATCATTGTAAAGCTGAGTTAATTCACATCATCCATTCATGTGTTTATTATTTTCTCTATAGTCTCAACAGCAGCTTCAATTCAGCATCATGGCTTCATGCATGAGCTAGCCCATCCACCTCACAAACACCATCATCAGCGCTCTGTTTTTGTTGTTACACCTTGCACTGCTTGCTCACTTTTTAGTGTTTTTTTTTTTTTTTTTTTTTTGTGATTTTTCTGGTCATTTGCTGTACTTCTTAAAATGATTAACCACACAGGAGAAACCAACAGTTCTCTGGATAAAACGACATAAAAGCTCCAATAACTCTTTGAGGTGCCCCAGCATCTTTGACTCTTTCACCCTAAGTACTTCTCTACTCGTAACATTGGTGGTAAACGTTTCGAAGCTTGTTGTTTCCATGTGAACTGCACACCGTTTGTGCTTTGGCTTTCAAAATGTTTTTTTTTTTTTATCTGTTATTAGGTGCCATCAGACATCGAAGCACCTCCAGAACAATACCACTTGTTAATTAACTCATCCTTATGTTTCTTTAAACCTTCAAAATGAAACTAACTTCACCACCACACACGCTGCCTGGAGTTCCCTCCATTAAACCTTCGAAGGATTTTTGATTTCTCAGCATCGTCGTGTTGTGGTCTGCTGATTTTGGGTTTTTTTGTGTGTGTCCGCTTCTTTTCTCACGTGATTATCTATTCTGTTTTTTTTTTCCTTATAGATTAAAAAAAATAACTTAAAGGTCCAAATGCTATATGTTGTGAAGGTAAGCTCCAAGTCTGACCGGGATGTTTGTTTTGGTCCGGCTGCCTACTTGCCCTTCACTCGTTCACTCATCCTGGCTGTTTCCCCTCCAAATGCTCCTTTTCCATTCAGTACTAACCAAGCTTCATTTACTGAGTGCTCTCACAAATGCAAAAGGAAAGAGAAACCAGGCTGTTTATTTGGGGGTGTCCCACTGTTTAGGCCAGGCTGGTAATTGAGAGCGATGCACGGTGGCGACAATTAGCACCTGACTAAGTAGCAGCATGAACAATACGGCTACACTTCTGGTCCTCGCTTCTGCATGCGGTGCGCCTTTATCTCTTCCCCCAGCAAACACTTTTCTCTTTCTTTCCTTCTCCCCCTCAATCCCTCCACATACCCCTCCTCTTCATTTCCTCCTGTTGGAGTGTGCCTGTTTGCCTGGGGCAGACTCTGAGACTAACACCTGCCGCACTGGAAGACGTCTTTGTCATCCAAAGCCTTGTTTGAACTGCTGCGGTGGGGACCAATGAGATTGCAGGAGCATTTTAGACTTCCTTCGTTTTCTTTCTCTCCCAGTCTTTCCCCTTCTTCTCTCCGTTTTGAATTAACACTAGCGTTAAGAAGTTTTGCCCGAGTGACGAGCGCAGCATGTATGTTTATAATAAAAACAATGATGGCACGGTGTTCTTTTCTTCATTGGGGATTTTTTTTTTCCTCACAGTCACTACTAGGAGATTTTATTCTTACAAAGGGAGAACCTACGAGTCGTTTAGTGCCACAGTGGGAGCTATAACCGTTAGGTGCAGCATGTTTTACTGCCTGTTCAGTAGGTATTCCCCTCAGCTCACGATAAGTGTTTACACTGGATGTGTTTCGTGTTTACTGTTGGAATGAATACAGGAATGCAAAATTTGCTGTGTTCACAAGGCCGCCCACATTTTTAGCCAAGCCCATGCCTTTTTTATATTTATATGCAGATTTAAGGATCTACAATTGGACCTTTCACCCCCCCTGCAGCCCTTTACAATGCGCACTCCCAGTGTTTCTTCTGTAGCCCGGCCTCCTCTCCCAGCGAGCCGCGGCGCTGGATGCTGCCCGGTGTCCAATGTGCTGCTGTGTCTGTTACTCCCGCCATCTGCCATTCCTTTTAGCCGCTGCAACTTGAGATGCCTCCGAAAAATGGCAGGAAATAAAAGGATAGGAAAGAAAATAGGCGAGCAGATGCCATCTCAACAAAGCAGAAAAGTTGTTTAAACTCGAGGCAGGCGGGGGGGCCCGTAGTTTGGATTCGGTCAGGGGCGCCGCACAGCGAGTAAGTCGACGTTCACAATATTTGATTGTCCTCAACAGCATTTCATGCCCACCTCCCAGTTTACTACTGTTTGAAATCTCGTAATCTGTGATGGGAAGTTTTTTTTTTTTGTGAAAAGGGACGAGGTTTGACAATAGGAAGGCTCCAATATTCACAACAAGAGCGTAATATGTAATTTTACTTTCATTCAAAGCCTTCTGCCATCATGCTGTGAACTGGATACTTTCTTTTTACCTTCAAAGGTTACCTCTCTGTTTACATCATATAAGCATCTAAAATAGAACTTTGGAATGAAGTTGGCTTCTCTTTTAACAAGCTTTGCTTTTCTGCAGCGCGTTAAAAAAAAAAAGCATGTCATTTCTACAAGGTTTCATGATTTTAGTTAATCTCTGTAAAACAATCATTCAAATCCTAACTTTTTTGTAGCTTATACTGTAGATTATTGTGGGTGAAAGTCCAATGAACTGGGCGATGTTGGTTTCATGAGGAGTCGGATGCATGGCAACGCATGCTGGGATGTACAGTGCTTCGATCCAAGCCATGTGCAAGTGTCGCATTTAACCACGTTGATCTGTTTTCCTCATTTTTCTTTCTTCAACCCCGTGTCTCCCTCAGGATCTCTCACTGGCAGCGTGAGCACAGACGGTGGAAATACCACGACGACAGACTCCGTCGACCAGGTGTCTCCCACCATGCCCCGCTCGACCAAACAGAGAGTTTCAGGAAAACTCCGCAGATCTGCAAGCGCTATAAGCAAATCTTCTAACTGAGCGCTACACCCCTCCTCCTTTCTTTTCTCTCTTCTGAGTGAAACCTTTAATCTGCTCTCAAAGAACCTCCACGCATCCTGCTGTGACTGCAAACATTGTTCTTGTTTTTATCCGTTTTATGTTGTTTCTTGTGAAACTTAACTGGAGCATGTTGCCATTTTTAATTCAGTTTGCTGTCCATGATTCCTGCCGCTACATTTCACCTTGTTCTGCATGAGCAATGAGACTAAACTATGAGGGTTCGACAGCATAGGATGACTATGTACCTAATGGAAACTGTGATATAAATGTAATTTTTAATTCTAATTTTCTAGAGCGCTCGCAAAGCACTGGAAAAATCAAAGTTCTTACTATAGTAAGGGAATGGGAGACTACTTTACTCTTTCTTTGTCTCGTTTGATTCAACACTTAATGTAAAGAAGCACTGAATGACGCTGTTAGTGCTAAAATTGCACATGAGTGGTATCCACGTATAGATGTCTTGTCTTTTTATTTCTTTTTTGTGTCTTAAGATCCCTTTTCAGGTAGTGACAGAATGAAGCCGCTGTCCTGCCCTGTAGCACCAGTTTGGGAAATGTTTGTGAAACATGTTCCCGCGCTGGAAACAAGAAAAGACTGACGCGTCGGGGAACGCCGCCCCAGCTTGATTTGTACTCGCTGCACTACTGCTCAGATGACCTGGGCACGGAGTCCCTGAAGTTGCGCACAGTCCGGGGATTTAATTTAATTTTTTTTTTTTCGTGTTTCTTTTCCGAGCGGACAATCGATGACGTCTTTCTAACTCGAGGTGAAACGAGATTTGTTTTTGTATTTTTTTTTTTTTACCTCTCTCATATTCCTTTTTAAATGAATTCCAATAGATTTTGTCATGATTTGATTTATGCAACTCTGCTGGAACGAGAAAAAACTGTGTTTGTAATTGTTTTCTGAAGTCGTTAACTTGGGCTTGTGTCCGGTAATTGGATAAGTTCCTGTTGTCTCTTTTCCTCTGCTTTCAGTTTCCTGTCCTGTGAAGCTAAAACATCGACATTCCAACATTCCCAACCGACCAATGTTTTTGCACTTGCCTTGTTCGGGTTGAATGTTCTGCTTAGGATTCTTGTTGCTTTAAACTTGTATATTTTATATATGTTTGATAGATTTATAGGATTAGAGCTGATTATACTTGATATGTTTTGTTTTTATGTATTCATGCTGTTTAGAGGAAAAAAACCACCCGAGCCTCAGGTAAAATTGTATCCATGCACTGGTGTGTGTGTGTGTGTGTGTGTTTGAGTGTGTTTATGCAACTGAGAGAGCTTCTCGCAGTGCCTGTCTGTTTTTGAAAAATAAGATGAAGTCCCACACCACTAATCCAGCACCTACTTTGTCGAGTTACGTTTGTTCTTTAGACAAACACGATCCACCTGCACGGCATCGTCTCCTTAGCGGATGAAAACAAAGTGCTTTCCTCTCCCTGCATCTCTAAAGGTCAGAGTCTGGTGCCTCTCACAAAAACAACAGATGGATTCAGAATTGTGATTCTGTGCTTTTCCACCTGTATCTGTGCACTGAGTTGAGTGGCGTACACTCCTACTTTTTTTTTTCCCATGATGCTCTTCCCATGTGGCGTCCTGAGGCCCCGAGGTGCAGGAGGAGGTCCAGGTGTAGCATGCCAGAGCTTAACTCTCACCAGCCCTCCTAGCAACAAGCAGGCCGGCGTGCTCACTCCTCCAACCTGCCCGCTCAGGTTGTCATGGTAGCCAGGTGTCCCCCACCCCCACCCCCCCAACCATCACGCACACACTCACTACACCCTCTGAGAGCTCCACCCAAGCTGCAACACTATCCCCATCTGTTGCACTACTATGCCTTACCCTGTTTCTGCCAACATCTCTCCTCTTGTTTGTTTGTTCGTTCCTCCAGCAGAACACGAGGAACCCAAACAGCGAGAGGTCCGACAGACCCGTTAGTTAAAGAATGTATAAACGTATAGGCTCCGACTGGCACTCGAAGGAACCATCCGTGATGTCCATGTAAAGATTGTAGGTTTTAGAAAATGTCTGTCGAAGGGATTCGTTCAGTTCTTTTTAGTCGCTGGAGATATTTGGACCAAGATTGTGCATCTTATATTGTGAAGAATTTTACTTTTAGCCTAGATTGTTTTTTTGTTTTCCTCTTCTAGTTTTAGAAATCTGTATATTGTGTCAAATTCGAGGGCCTCCTTTGCCCGTTTTAATATAAATCTATTAACGCCTGTAATATAATCTTTGTACCGATAAGAGCAAAAAAAAATGCTTGAAATTTTCATCCCCTTGTCGACATATCAAACTGTTTTTAATGACCGAAGTCCTGCTATCTTCACTAGAAATGTGAAAATGGAAACATTTCATTAAATCATTTTGAAATTCTACGCTTCGTTTTGTGTTTTTAGCTGAATAAAATGATTTAAAGTTTTAATGTGTGCGCTGGTGATGTCGCTGTGGGCTTTCTGACCCTGGCCGGGCTGTGCTGGCAGCAGCGGGGGTAACCTGACCCTCCTCCCATCTGTCTCCCCTGCTGCTCAGACCTACTTAGACGAGGCCGGCGTAATGGAACCTCACCAGGAGGTTCAGGTGCGATGCTCGCAGCACCTACAGGTGCCCTGCCTCTCCTGGGCCACATACAGATGCTAGAAAAGCACTTGACCATAATTGGAGCCCTGAAACTGAGAAATAATCCTAATGTTGCCTCATTTTCACTCGGCTCAGCACCGTTTGCTTCACTGACTTTAGATATCTCACAACAGAACAGGCTGACTCTGATTGTTGTGTTTCATGTTAGACTGCAGCTCATTTTCACAACTCGTCGCCTCAAAGGAGAGTTACCCCCATTTTTATAAGTTTGCTGCGCTCGTTTGACTTTAATCCGAAAGTGTAAAACAAAACCAGTCTGTAAAGTTTAGTTTATTTTTCTGATTATTTAGGTTTGAGGTGACAGTTCTGATGCGTAAGGAGCAACTCCCAAGATAAAGCGAGCTGCTGTTGAGTTTTCCAGAAGTGGACAGATGTTTTACTGCTCCAGATGTGAGCTCTGATCTGCCACCTCTTTGTCCTGACGTGGCATTAGAGAAGGAATTTATGATGAGGCTCTAAGTGCTTCTCTGTGGCACCGTGTCTCTTGAGCCTCTGCAGCAATGATTTACAGAAAAACCAGTCTGATAAATGAGCCAGACCTTTGTTCTTCCACTGGAAGGATGATTTAATTGATTTGCTTAGAAAAATAATAAAAGTTTCACACTTTTTGAACCTGATGTATGGAGTAAAATGTAACTTTTTCCAGTCTTGGTTGTGATGTCGACGAGCTGTTGGCCTCCAGATTGTGTGTTAAAGTTCAATTAGTTTTAAGTTCAGAAATATAAGTTAATTTTTCTAAAGTTTTTAAAAGAATATGCTGAAAAGTCATCTAGATCTATTTCTGCAACAAATAAAGGTTTTTAATTGTGGATGTAATTTTTAGAATTTAAAAGTAACTTTTTGAACATTTTTTTTTAGTTTATAATAAGCTAGTGTTGCGTTTTAACAACTATCTAATAACAAATGTGTTTTAAAGGAAGTTCATTCACTCTGACGCCATGTGTCCTTTTGAAAATATTTTATTTTGATAGACACCAACGATATGCACATACAATCAAAGCGCTATAAAAGCCAACATTTAAGAAAAATAACTTGTCCTTAAAAAAGATTGCCTCTAAGGTAAGAGCTTCACGTTTCTTTTTTAAAAATTTTATTTTATTTTAAGCAAGAGCTGTAAAGTTTCGAGGTTAAAAACCTGACCCACAACAATTATCACAACTAAGAAAAATTCAAACAAATTAAATAATAATTTAAAAAACAGAACATTTTGGCTGTACGACATGTAAACTGCCAGAACAATTCACAGGAGGAGGGGGAAAAAAAATCACAATAAGTTACATAAAATAATTAGAATAAATAAATAAATATGATGAAAAATATTGCAACAATCTTCAATAATATTAATAATAAAATATGTGCCAGCAATCAAAATAAAAAAAACAATCTATGTTGACTTAAGGCAGTTATACAGCAGGATTTGGATGTATGTAGGCTATTTCAGACTAGATTTATCTGTCATCTAAAGGCATTTGTGGTTCTACTAAACAGTGAATTCTTCAGTCACCTTTTCCCCTCCACCAAGACAAAAGTTGCTAAAGTCACATCATTCACAAAGTGGCATAAAGCTACAGAGATGGAGCCATCATGGTCAGTGAATTCAGGACATGGGGGGGAAACAGGAGTTCTGAGAATTTCAAGACGTTTCTTAGGTCTAGAAGCTATCATTGATGTGCTGTCCTAGAAAAATACCCTTTAACAGTCAAACTAACGCTTTGTATTCTTTTTTTTTTTTTTACTTGATAAACTAATTTGAGAAATAAAATCTCAAAATAGGCCTATTGGAATATAGAGACGAGCATTCAACAATCACTGATTGGCATGGAAAAGACACCACTTAAACATCAAACAGCCCTGCCTTTCATTGGCCTAAAGTTATGGCAGAAACTTTTTTTTTTTTTTAATTCTTCTAACTCAAAGCCACTTCCCTTCTCTTCATTTTTTCTGATCTTCCTCCATGAAAGGCACAGGTTCTGTTCAGCAGGCGGGGCGCACCGGCATTTGCAGCAGGATCACCTGCCTGTTCTCCGAGGGGTGGCACTTGTTTATGTGCCTGGTGAGCCCCGGTGAGCTGTAGAGGGTGGCGGGGCAGTACTTGCACGGGTAGATCTGGGAGGAGTGCATGAGGCGCAGGTGTCGCTCCTGGCCGGCCCTGCTGGTGAAACTCTCCCCGCACACCGGGCACAGCAGGCAGTCCACAGGGCTCAGATTCAGGGGGCTTTGGTTTGACGCGTCCTCTGCGGATGCTGAGGAGGAGGAAGAGGATGCTGAGGAGGAAGGGGCAGGCACAGGAGCCTGCTCTGCCGCTGCTCGGTCGCTGGTTTGAAACCCGTGCTCCTCCAGCACCTTCTTCTGCAGCACCTGGTGCCCCATGATGTGTTTTCTCAGGTACGCCTGGCGCTTAAACCTCCTCCCGCAGAACTGGCAGTCATACGAGCCGTCTTCAGACCCGGACTCGGACAGACCCGGACTCGGGCTGTCTCTGTCACTCATCTCTTTGGCTTCTTCAGACTTGACCCCCAGCGGCGGCATCTTACCCACTTCCGCCTTGATGCCCGGCTGCTGCGCGGCCGTGGCGGGGGCCCCGGTGCTCCGGGGCTTGTGCCAGCGGCGGTGTGAGGCCAGGTTGGCCGGGCAGCTGAACATCTTGTCGCACTCGGGACACCTGTACTCGACTCGGACGATGCGGGAGCACTTGTGCTGAGCCAGGGAGAAGGGGTCCGCGTACGCCTCCTTGCACAGCTGGCACACGAACTCGCCCAGAGGTTTGGCCCCCGCGGAGGACTGCGCCCTCGGCTTCATCTCCACCGGCCCCTCTTTGATTTTCAGCCCGAGCACCGGGGAGGTCGTCACCTCGTCTTCGAAGTTGAGTTTTCTAATGGCTTTGGGTTTCTTGGAAGCGGGTTTGAGTTTGCGCTCCGCTCCATCCGCGGGTCGTTTGGTGGAGACCCGGCTGTTTGGTCCCGTGAGGCTGCTGGTGCTGGTGGTGCCGCTGCGGCTGCTGTTGCTGGTGCCGATCTTCAGGTCTACAGGCGCGTACAGGAGATGCTCCAGGCCGGAGAGGGAGGCGGTCGTGGGGAATGACTCTGCAGAAATCGGCGAGCCCAGATTGAAACTTCGCTCCAAATATTCCCGCTCGTGCTCCTTGCTGATGGGTCGGGTGGGGCTGTAGAGGGCTTGGCACACCGCTTCTGGATTGCCGAACTGGGCCGGCTTCTCCAGCCTTGGCACCGGCGCGTCAGCCGCGGTGAAATCCGGCGAGGCGGAGGCGCGGGCGGGACTGGACGCCATGGACATGGCGGGGGAGGGGTCCGCCTGAGTCGGCAAGGCAACTGGGGTGGGGAGCTCCTGGAGCTCATCTTCATCTGAGCGAGTCCTGTAGGAAACATGTGCAGATTTCTTGTTTCTTTTTACCAGGAATCCTTTGGGCATCTTGGCGGGTGACAGCGGAAAGGCACTTCGGGGCGGTGGGTGAAGTGTGAAGTATCCAGGTTTGGTAGAAAAGATGGCAACACCAGAAGCTTTCGGGACTTTATCTCCCCGGTTTATCGACCCTTCTGTTGCTGAAATGTTTTCGTCTCCAAGGCATAGCTCCACTCTTTTTATGCCGGAATGATGCTATTGTTCTCACCCCCCTCCTGTCGCAGCATCCCCGACCAATGGGATGAAACCAAGATCCCAGTGGATTTTGGTGTGGGAGGGCTCAGAGCCTGGCTTTAGTGGATTTCGTTGGAGGATGTGCAGATAGCTCAGCAGATGCACTGGCGGTTTATTACATTAATGTGTGCGCGCGGCCCCTCCCCGGCCGAGGCACACGCCGGGACCCTCCTCCTTTTACGGTCTGATGGGCCCCTGCACAAATGCACACGTGCCACTGCTTTGTGGCTCTCCTCTGGGGGGCCTCGGAGTTGCCAAAAGGAAATGTCCGTCACCACGCACCATCATATTAGAAATAAGGCGAGCTGAAATAAAAATCAGCTTCTTTAAGATCAGCTGAGACAAACTCAGACAAAAAGTCTGCACCGATTCTTTATTTCCGGTGCTGGGATGTTGGTTTGTTCCTGCTTTACGCGCGACTTTTACGCGCGAACCGAACAATTCTGTTTTGTCACCCTCCATCAGAACAAACACCATAAAGGGTTTGTTTCTTGATTTTAGGGCACGTGTCTGTCTCGGCAGTTTAACTCGACATATAAATCAGACATCTCGCTGCATACATAAGTAATAAGAAAGCCCTCTGGTCTTTGGGAACAATGGCCACGTCTGCCTGTGCTTGGATATCTTTTTTTTTTTTTCGTTTCAAAGGCAAATTGACCTCTTAACTGTGAAACAGGACTCACGACCCAATCTGGGCCACAGCACGGCGCGTGCAGGGCGGAATCAGGGCTTCAGACAAAAGAAGGCAGCAGCCGGGGGCTGGAGCTGGGGCATTCATCACATACTTAAATTAAGCTGGTGTTCTTGTTGTGTCCAGTTGTAATAAAAACAGCAAAAAATTATATATATATATTTAAATTGAATTCAAACTTGTGGAGTAACAGTGAAAATTCACAACTTATTTTATTAAAACAAACTTTTCCCGTCTTTTATATTTGTTTTATTTTTTTCAAAGCCTAAATGCGGGCCTATATGTGCACCACTTGGCAGAGAGGACCCCCCCCCCCCCCCCCTTTCAGTCAGCAGACCAGGGAGGAATTAATCTCCATCGTCGTTCATTGTTCCCCTCATTTGCATAAAGCTGCAGTATGACCAAGTCAAATAATTACACAATCGGAGCTGAGCCGCAGGCCCGCGCCTTCCTTTCAATGGGTCCCAGTGTCCCGGTGCCTTCTCACCTGCTGGAAAACACACCGTTATGTCGCTCAATTAGAGCTTAACCAAACACTTCACATACAAGTTATAGATATTCTGGAGATGTTTAAAACTTGAATGGAAGTTGTTCTGAATGAACTGAAAAATAATGAACTTTTGTGTGTGTGTGTGTGTGTTTTTACTTTAAATCCTAATTTCATCCGAATATATTTTCTCTAAAGCTGTATTTATTTATTTATTTGTTTATTTATTTTGCCTCTGCTCTAATTCTTGATGGGTTTTCAGTGTGCGTGTCTATTAGTCGTGGTGTGTTGCGACTCCAAGCTTTGATGGCATTTTAACGAGTTCCTCTTCTTGTTTTTGCACACACACACACACACACACACACACACACACACACACACACACAC